CACACACACACACACACACACACACACACACACACACACACACACACACACACACACACACACACACACACACACACACACACACACACACACACACACACACACACACACACACACACAGAGTGCGGAATGGTGGTGACCTCGGTGAATCAACAACCAGCGTGTGCTATCTAGCACGTGCGTGGGATGTGCTGCTTTGGAGTGCGTACCTTGTGTGGGCGCCAGGGAGTGTGCGGTGTGAAGGTATCCGCAAGCGACTGCACGGGCATCCTGTGCTCTTGACACTACGTGAAAACACAACAGAGGAGTCAAACGAGGTGAAACGAACGCAGACCAGATGAACGAAAGCAGACCAGATGAACGAACACAGACCAGATGAACGAAAGCAAACGCAGCGACCTGCACACACGCACTGGCAAGGTTAGGGAGCGTCGGGTCCCACGCCACGACGGCGATGCCCACTGACACCACGCACAGCACAAGCACGTCCACCACTGCAACGGGCATCTCTTGGCGATTGTCAGTGGAGAAAATTGAACGCACCAGTCACAACAATTCCGCATCAAACCAAACATGAGGTACGTTTCTTTCTATTCGATTGAGAGTTGCCGAGCGAACCATGAGAGATTGGCTGGCGAGTGTGCCGTGCACAGCTCCTGGAAGTAGTGCAATACCAGGGCCATGCTTGTGGTGGGCGCTGCAAGCAGACGCCGCACCACCAGTCCCAAATAGTAGAGTAATATCGGCCACTCCGAAGAGTGGCGATTAGATATTACACTAATCTAAACATTTACTACACTTGATCCGAGCAAAAATTGCCCTGAAGCGTTGACGATAAGTGGAGTCGAGCAAAGCTATCAAGTTTTCCAACTAGTTTGCACGCTTGTGGGTTCTCACATCAACAACCAGCAAAATAAAAATTGTTGCTCAACTTACTCATCGGAAGATACGCCCAATTGGTAATGAACAAACTGAAATCAGTCGTTACCAGCATTCACGTGTGTCTGTGTTGCGAAACCCGCACTCCACAAACTTCCACCACTGCTCGTAACACACTCACTCGTGCAGTCGACCACCACCAGCCCTTCTGTGTCACTTTCCCGCAACCCCTCCCCCATTCAACTCGTCAACACGACGACGCATCATCAGCTGTTTGCTCTCATCACCTATCCGTCCATCACGCAACAATGGTGAAGATCACTGTGTCCATCAAGGGCGAGTGCACTGCTGTGCGCATCGCTGCTGCGTTTGCCTCAAAGGTGGAGCCGGGCGTCACCGTTGACGCCAATGCCAAGAAGACCGAAGTCGAGTGCGGGTACGTGTGTTCGCTTGTCGTGTGTGTAGGTAGCTTTTGCATGTGATGTGTGGTGTGTGTTCGCTTGTCGTGTGTGTGTAGGTAGCCTTTGCACGTGTTGTGTGATGTGTGTGGTGTGTGTGGTGTGTGTGGTGTGTGTGGTGTGTGTGGTGTGTGCGTGTGTGGTATGCGTGAAGCGCACCTTTGTCTATTCGCTTCCCCTCTTCTCTCCTCTTCTCGAGCACACACGTGCATGCATGCCAAGGCGGTGGCTCTCTCGCACCTGTCTTTCCCCGTTGCCCTCACACCTCTGCCCTTTTCTCATCCTCACACACACTCCACTCGTTCTTCTACCACCCCCTTGACCTTCTCACACACGTGGCATGGTGCCTTCACTTATACGATGATACCAAAACAACCACCCCCTCCCCAACCCACAAATTCAGCTCGGTGAAACTTGGGCGCGTGCCAGGCATGCTGCGTGCGCTGGCAGATGTCGCCAAGATGTACGGCGCCAACGCCACGCAGGCCACGGAGGTTGACCACTGGATTGATCTTGCCCAGTACAACCTGTCTTCCAAGGCTGCGAAGGAGGCCGTCACCGAAGCGCTCCAGCTCGTGACGAACCAGCTCAAGGTGCCGTGAAACGTCGCGTTTTGTGCGTGTGTGTATGTGTGTGTTTGCGCGCGTTCGTGCGTGTGCGTGTGCGTGTGCGTGTGCGTGTGCGTGTGCGTGTGTGTGTGTTTGCGTGCGTTCGTTTGTGCGTGTGCGCGCCAATTCGAGCGTATGTGGTGTGTGGGTTTTATGGCAGGGCTCTTGCATGCCTCATGCCATCACGCATGCGTACATGATCGGATCACCCTCCTCTTCTCATGCACATCATGCTTTGGTTCAATGTCTGTACGCGTGACGTGCTCCACACCCATTTCGTGCTCACATGCATCCTTTCACACCCACTGTCGACGCACCACCCGCATCCGCACTCACGCATGCACGCGCACACCACAGCGCCGCACGTGGCTTCTCGGCAACGAGCAGGAGCCGTCCATGGCCGACGTTGCGCTCTTTGCCGCGCTTCGCGGTACGTCTGCATTGTATCGAACATCGTCCAACCATGCCTCGCCACCAACTGTGGTTGTCGCACTCACAAAGCTGTAGTGACACATGTGACACCCCTCACTCCCACTCACTCCCACTCACTCCCACTCACAACCAACTTTGCACAACCCCCCCCCCCACTCCACCTCGTCCTCCACCTCGTCCGTCCCCCTTTAGAGCGTGGCGGTGTTCCCCAGGGCGTTGACAGCTGCATCGCTCGCTGGTACGCCACCTGCGAGGCACACCCCGTCATTGCCGCTGCTCTCGCTGCCATGCCCGCAAAGGCAAAGCCGCAGCAGCGCACCAAGGCAAAGGACCAAGGTATGCACACAGGCACAATGTGCATGAGACATTGATGCCAAATTGCATCGCTACTGTGACGATTGTAATCTTGCCTTTGCGTGTTCGTGCGTGCATGCACTCAACCATCGTGTTCGTGCGTGCATGCACTCAACCATCGTCATGTTTTTTTTTTTTTTGGATCCTCAACACCCCCACCCCCCGCACCCCCCCCCACACACACACACACAGGCAAGTTCTTTGAGCTTGATGGCGCCAAGGAGGGCGAGGTTGTCACCCGCTTCCCGCCAGAGGCCAGCGGCTTCCTCCACATTGGCCACGCAAAGGCAGCCATGCTTAACAAGGTCAGCAACGCGGTCCCAGCAACAGCAACAGCAACAGCACCAACAACAACAACAGCAACAACAACAACAACAGCAACAACAACACACACACACACAGCGCGCACACATATGCAACGCAAAATCCCACTGATCGCCCACCAGCACAACACGTTGATTGTCTCATACGCTGAAATGATGTCATTCAGTTTATCAGTGTAGTATTCCACGCTCACTCGTTTACCCCTCTTCTCCTTCTTCTTATCACCTCCTCTCGCATCTCCTGTCGTGGCACATGTGTGTGTGTGTGTGCGTGTGCAGCACTTTGCCACGTCGCACAAGGGCAAGCTCCTCATGCGGTTTGATGACACCAACCCGGCCAAGGAGAACGCCGAGTTTGAGAAGGTGAGGCTCGCTCCCAACAACACGCCAACACACGGCCCTGTTATGTTGTCGCGTGTGCTGTTGCACAACACTTCAAGCAGATTCTCTGTGGCTTGCGCTCACATGCCCAAGTGCCCACCCCGCCTTTGTCGCTGCGCCATTTATTCCCTCTTGCACACTTTGTCACCACAACACCCTCCCTCAACATCATCATCACAATTCACGTCATAACCCCAACATTCTCATCCAACCGTCCGCGTCTTCATTTCCACCACCACATTGCACCGCCATTTGTCCATGCACAGGTGATTCTTGAGGACCTGAAGCTGCTGGGAATCACGTACGACGCGTTTAGCCACACGTCGGACCACTTTGACACCATGCTGGCGTACATGGAGCAGATGCTGAAGGAAGGCCTGGCGTATGTCGACCAGACCACCGCCGAGGAGCTCAAGGAGCAGCGCCTGGCGTGCAAGCCCTCCCCATACCGCGAACAGTCTGTGGAGGAGAACATGCGCCTGTGGGAGGAGATGAAGAAGGGTTCGGACGTGGGCGTCAAGTGCTTTGTCCGCGCCAAGATTGACTACAAGAGCACAAACGGCGCCATGCGCGACCCCACCCTCTACCGCTGCAAGCCAGAGCCACACGTCAGGTCAGCACACTCCACCATGCGCTCGTCGCGAAATGTGTGTGTGTGTGTTGTGCGCGTGTGTGTGTTGTTCGCGTGTGTGTTGGTTAGGGGATCGGCTGGGGGAAGGGGGGGGGGTTTGCTTCCGTGTTCATTAGTGCCCACCGTTATGCCATCTCGCTCTCCCATTGACGTTTGTCCACCGTCACTGTCACTGTCGCCACTGCCGCCCCCACCACGACGACGACGACGACGACAACCACCACTACCACAACATGTTGCGCACTGTATACAGGACCGGCGACAAGTACAAGGTGTACCCCACGTACGACTTTGCCTGCCCGATTGTCGACAGCATTGAGGGCGTCACGCACGCGCTCCGAACAACAGAGTACCATGATCGCGACAAGCAGGTGCGCAAGCAACAACACTGGCACCTGCGGCCTCTTGCGCTTGGGTGATGAGTCGAGAGGCTGTTGTGTTTTTGCTGCAATACGCGTGGCTGCAGTGGCTGCTGGTGTGGCTGCCTCTGTGTGGGTCTGCACTTGCTTTGGATCTGCACTTGCCTGTGCGCGCGCTCCTGCGTGCATGTGACATTGTTGCTGCTGTCCATTCACATACCCCTTTCTCTGTGTCTCTTTTTTCCCTTGCCTCTCTTTCCCTGTTCATGCTTGTTGCGCGTGCCCACGCCAACTTGTTTCCATGTGTTGCTGTGTGCAGTACGCGTGGATCTGCAAGGCCCTGCGCATCCGTGAGCCGATGATCAAGGACTTTTCTCGCCTCAACATGGTCTACACCGTCATGTCCAAGCGCCAGCTCACAAAGTAATGCCGAACCCCACCAGTGGCTTGCTTTGTACTCGGGGTTGCCTGGTGCAGCTTGCCTGCAAGCAAGGCGTTGGCACATGTTTGTATGTAAAGCTGGACCCCTTTGACATTGTCCCCCCATGTTTTGTTTAGTATTCGCTTGTTATTCACGGACATCCTGATGTTTGTTCGTGTGCGTGCGTGCGTGCGTGTTTGCGTGCTGCGCTTGTTAGGTTTGTCGAGGCAGGGCTGGTTGATGGCTGGTCTGACCCACGCTTCCCCACCGTTCGCGGCATGCTTCGTCGTGGTGCGTTTATACTTCTCGGCACAGCCCATCGTGGCGGGTGCCGCGCACTGCACGCTTTACATTCCCACTGCCAACATCATCGTTGTGCCATTTTCGCACACGCTTTCCTCTTTTGATGACTGCAACACATTCTACCCCCCTCTCTCTCTCACACACACATACACACATACACACACCCGACACCGACACCGACACCCCATTCTCATGCTCACGCACGCACACACACACACACACACACACACACACTGGCGTTGTGGTTTTGCCTGCAGGCATGACGGTTGAGGGACTGCGGACGTTCATCCTGGCCATGGGCTCCTCGCGCAGCAACTCGCAGATGGAGTGGGACAAGATCTGGGCCACAAACAAGAAGGTCAGGCATGCGCCCATTTGCACGTCTCGACTTGTTTGAGGCAAAAGGGAATCATGATGAGATGGAGTGCGCATATGTGCAATTGTTGGCTTTGAAATACACGAGTGCATTTTTATCTCGGCCCGTTGATGCTGCTTGCACATCTCTTACTGCTGTTGTCTCCATCTCTCTCTCTCTCTTACACACACACACACACACACACACACACACGCACGCACACACACACACACATACACACACACACACATACACACACACACACACACACGCGCGCGCACCCCCATCCCCCCGCACACACCAACACACAGCGCACCCCCCGACCGCCCCGCGGGAAGACACAGCAACACGGACCCCACCCGCCGCCGGCACTGCCGATGCAGATTTTGGCACGAGAGAGCGGCCGCCGGCGCTGAAGAAAGAGCAAAGGGGCTAAGATGCTAGCGCAGGCACTCGATGGATGAATAGATTGAGCGGGCGGGTATTCGTAAAATCAGGGTTGGGGGAACAAGTGAGATCATATGCTGG